TATGTAACTCTCTGAATAATTATATGATTGGATAAAAATAATGATAATCAGATGATAAATTGTAAAAATTAAGAAAAAAAATTTCATATAATCAAAGAAAGATTATCAAATTAGAGAAATTTATGTTATTAAGATAACAGTATATTATATTCAAACTTTAATAAATTTATTTTATATAATGATTAAACTTGAATTAACTTGTTTTGACTTGAGTTAAGTTAAATTATAATTTTTCTGATTCAAAGAGTACTTAAATCAAAATATAAATCAAAATATAAATTGATTCAAGTTAAATAGTTTAAGTAATTTACAGTGGCTTATATATATAATAAAACATGAAATTAACTTATTAAAATTTTTATTTTTATAACTATTAATTTGAATAAAATAAAAAAGTATTTATTTAAAATCTTGAAATTATTGATATTTTTTTAAAAATAATTTAATAACAGATTATTTTATAAAATAAAGTGATTTAAATTAAAATTTATAATTAATAGAATTCTTATATTAAAAACTTTTTTATAATAAATTCAAATTTGAATTACTAATTAAAAATATTTTATTTTATAAAGTTTAACTATTTACCAATTTTTATAAATATTTAAAATTTTAAAACTAAATCTATACTAGAAATATTAATATATAAATTAAGCTTATAATATAAATTCAATTCTTTAAAATTTTAAATTTCAGTGAATTTTGTAATAATTTTTATGAAAATTAATAAATAAGTAGATTTTATAAAGTAAAATATTTTTAATTAGTGATTCAAATTTGAATTCATCAAATAAATACTTTTTTATTTTGTTTGAATTAATAATCATGAAAATAAAAATTTTAGTAAATTAATTTTGTGTTTTATTATTTCTTAAACCATTCAACAGATAAATTTGATTACTAAAATGGTTTTTAACTAATTTTTGTTCATTTACATCTAATTTTTATAAGCTTAATCCTTTCTTTTTCTAAGCTAATATAATCTATTTTTAATCAATATAATCTAAATTTATAATATTTATTTATAAATTACTCAAAATATTTGATTTATTTTGTAATTAATTCTATAATTTTATTATGAATTTTTTTTAAAATTTAAGACTAATAATAAAAATTTTTTAAAATTGCTTATTTTTAACTCAATAGAGAACTATATTTTTTTTATAATTGTTAAAAAATGAAAATAATTATTATATAATATATAATTAAAGCTAATATTAAATAACTTTTTTTATATATTTAATATTTAATAAAATATATTCAGATATAAATTTATGATATTTTAGCAGGCAAATTTGCTTACTAAATCAGATAGTTTAAGAGAGATATATAAGTCACTATATAATTTGAGTTAAAATATCGCAGACACAAATTAAAAATATTATGACTTAAATTAAGTTTGATTCGAATCAACTCAAATATGAGTTCAATTACTAATTCTATAATTAATATTCTTGTCACAGAAATAAAGTATTAAAATAAGAGCAAAAAAGTATTTCAATTAGTAATTAGATTTAAAAATATAATATAATATATAATATATATATACTAGCTAATATAAAATTACAGAATTTAATAATAATTCTTGAAAATTACATTAAATAATAATAATTATTTTAATGAATAAATTTTATTTTTCATGATTTTTTAATAGCAAGATATTTAAAACTTGATATTTTTTTCAGTATTAATATATAGTATATATAGCTAAATAATAATTTAATTGAATGAACTTATTTAAAGAATTTTAATTTAGAATTTGATCAAGCTAACAAATTTTATAGAATAAGTTCAAAATAATCTTTTTTGGTTCTGGAATCGGACAGACTAAATATATTATTAAAAAAGAATTACATTTTTTGTATTTGTATATGCATTTTTTGTTTTATTATTATTATTGTTTTTGTTGTTGTGCTAAAGAAGAATCACAGTTTGTTTATTTTTATACAAAACAACATGATATTTGTGATATTACATATTTAATATATTTATCATACCAAATAAAATACCAATTTTTTACAGCGTTGAATGTATTATATTCTTATGAATTGCATGTGCCATATTATAACAATAATATATCTTTAACATCATAAACTTTCTTGGCCAATTTTCTTTCTTTTCTGCTTGGATTATTTGAAGCAGTTAACATAAATTTGCTAAGAAATTTATTCATTTGAATGGCATAATCAGTTAGAATTGGTAAAAGTTCTAGTAAGTTCCAAGAAAATTACAAATATAAAAGATAATTTTTTCTTTGTAAGTTATTAATCAAACTTGTTCAAAATAGTTGGTTACTTATAAGAAATAATCATAAAGCTTAGAATTTTTAAAATCTAGAACTTAGTTCTGAATCAGGTCCTAATTTTGAGAACTCTAAAATTCCAAGCTTAGAAACAAATTATTGATTGTTTCTTATAAGTAACAAACTGTTTTAAACAAGTTTGATTAATAACTTACAAAGAAAAAATTATCTTTTATATTTGTAATTTTCTTGGGACTTACTAGGACTTTTATCATTCGAAAGAGTTCGGAAAAGGGAAAAAACATAAAAACTTTGCCAATATTCGACAGTTCAAGCGAACATCTGATATGATGTCATTTCGGAGAAAATTACCGAAAATATACGCGCGTCAGGATAAATAAACTAGTTTTTTATTCAAAAAATATATATTGTTAACGTTAACAAAATATGATAAATATTTGATGCGTAAATAACTAAACTAAAGAATTAAATATCACCTTATGGAAAAATTTTAAAAATGTAGAAATTGCAAGACAAATGAAACTACCTGACCTGATAATACTGTTCGTTCATTTATTAAAACAGGAACTTTTGCAAAAACAGTCAAGTAATGAAGAATAGATATGCTTCTTTACATGAATTAGCGACCAATGTTTGTCTCAAATAGAGATGTTAAAAGTCCGGTCCGGTTCTGGAACCGCAAAGTCTGTGAGCTGGACGAACTGAACTGCAGTCCCAAATCTGTCCCGGACTTGGTTCAAGAACTGAGTTCAGAACTGCGGTCCCGGACTGGGTCCTCAGAGTGCGGTCCTGTATTAATAGATGCACGTGGGTTTGCTGTGGGTAGGGATAGGAATCGATTAATATTTGAGAATCGATTGAAATTTAAAAATCGATTAAAATGTAATAAATCGATTAAAATTTGAAAATCGATTAACAACGATAACGATAATGCGAATACATGCAATTGGAAAATCATGTTTTTCACTTGTGAAAAACATGCAAATGATATAGCACACGACAAATTACGTACACTGTCATTCAACAAAAATGTTAATATTAATAATAACCAAGAAACCATTGCCAATATAAATTTTAACTCTGATAGTGATACTAATGCCAAAAGTAACTGATATTGATCTGAATCTCAAGCTGATGACAATACTTCAATTGTTTCTATACCACGTAATATCTCTATGAATTCAACTAATCAAAGCATAATTTCAACTAATCAAACTAATCAAAGTACAACTATTCCAACAAAAATCCAACTTTAGTGTTTATTTTACATTTTTGGACATGAACCCGATCCATGAACCGGTCTCTTGAACCGGTCCTTTGAACTGAGTTTATGAACCGAGTCCTAATTAATCTCAGAGATGAAAAGACTGCTAAAGGACCGGGTTCTTGGTTTCTTGGGACGAACCGGTTAAAGTCCGATCCCAGACTCAGTCCGGACCTGGTTCATGCGGACTACTTAACATCCCTAGTCTCAAAGTTTCAACAACCATTAGCAATTGCTTTCATGATTAGATCTTATGTAGCGCTTAAAAAACCATTTGTTTCAGATGAAAATCAAAAGTAACGACTTATTTGGTGTAAAAAACATATTAATAATTCAAGCTGTTTACAAACTACTTTTATAAGTCTGTCATGATCTGGGGTTGCTTTATAGGTGATAGACAGAACCATTAGTGGTTGTAAGAAATTCTGATGATTATATAAAGATTCTCAATGACAAACTCAAGGAATTCAAAACTGCCATAAAAACTAAATAGTGTACGCTTCCATCTGAATGATAATCTAAAATTCATACTAGCAAGAAAACTCGTGGTGGAAAGAACAGAATGAAATTGAATCCTGACCTTGGCCAGCCCAGTCGCCAGATCTTAACCCAATAGAAAATCTTTGGAAAATTTTAAATCCAACAACGTAAACAATTTCCAAGAACAATAGAACTGCAGAAATAGCCTAGAAGAAGGATGGAACAAATTGGAACTCGGTATTCTAGTTGGTAGTATGCCAAAGTGTATTAAAATGTTAATTTAGATTTGATAATAAAACTTTATTAAAGTAAGTTATGATAAATATGATTCTATAGCGATGGTATTACAAAATTGCGAATACTTTTTTTTGTCCTACTGTACATTAAATAGGCTTATAAAACTCCTGATAATGATATCGAGACAAAATGTATCGAAAAAAATGAGAAATCTAAATCATTAACTTATATTCAATATACGTAGTTGATGTAATTATTATTTGAGAAAGTTTAAATCAAGAGATCTTGTTAAAAAATGATGGTTCTCAAATGGTAGCATATGATTGCTTTTGCTTTGTCTTAGTTTTGGGTGAATAAGGTGCTGACTCCAAACGACGTTTTCGGGTTGGGGAAGGATAAATATACTTGTGAATTATAATTTGTTCTCCTATCATGCTAACAAATGAAAAAAAAAATATAATTTTATCCTTTTAATGTGATTCTATAACGATAATCATTTCCAATACCATTTTGATATCATTGACCGAGATTGCATTGTCCTTTAGCATTTCCATCTTCAGCTGATTTAAAATACCATTCAAAAGCTTTTTTTCTCATCTTTTGCGTTTCAAGTTGCACCACTCAAAAGCTTTTTTTGCGTTCCAATACCATTTTCATTACATAAACCAAGGTTGCATTGTCCTTCAGTATCTCCTCACCTTCTGTCGATTTCAAATATCACTCAAAAGCATTTTCCTCATTTTTTGTATACTAATACCATTTTGATTACAAAACCAAGTTTGCATTGTCCTTTGGCACTTTCTGCCGATTTTGTATCCCAGAACTATCTTGATAACATCGACCAAGATTGCATTTTCCTTTAGCATCTCCCCTTTTGCCGAGTGCAAATACCATTCAAATGTTTTTTTATTATCTTTTTGCGTTCCAATGCCATTTTGATAACAAAAACCAAGTTTGCGTTGTCCTTTAGAATATTCATCTTGTGCCGATTTCAAATACCACTCAAAAACCTTGCTTCTATTGGAAAGTGTACCAACTCCATTATACTAAATCCGAGTAAATATTGAGCAAGCGTATTGTTTTTCTTTGCTGACTCTATAAAAATTTAAAAGCAGTTTCAAAATTCTGTTCAATTTTTATACCAAAATATTAAATATTCGATTTTAAAGATTTGCAAGAATTTTTTCCATTCAAGCGTACTTTCTGCAAATACTAACTGGCGTTTAATACTATATAACTTGTATACTCAATGGTCCATTGCCAACACTGTTTTATATACGTAATGCGGAAAATAAGCGCCCTGTATTTGCATACATTGACATGTACCGGTATGTATAAATTAACGTTAATGTTGATACGTACATGTAATACATGCAAAATTTCGAATCCTCATGATTGTAGTGAATGTAAAGATTGTCAACGACTTGGTTACTGTAAAACGTGTTCAAAACATCATACTCATGATTGTAGTAAATGCTACGATTGTAAACGATGGGGGTTAATGCGATGAGTGTTCAGTTCACAATACTCATTATTATAGTAAATTTACCAAATGTCAAAAAATGAGTACTGCCGTGGATGTTTTTATTAGCACAAACGAATTTATAAAGCTGAATGATTTATGGTGCATAACATCTAAAGTTATCAACATTTGTATTTTATAAAATGGATAAACTTCTTTACCAAGGAGTAAACATAAAATTTAATCCGTTAATATGCTTCAGAAAGGGCCTATTCCATCATATTCATGGATTAAATTTTGTATTTACTTCTTAGTAAAGAAGTTTATCCATTTTATAAAATACAAACGTTTGATGACTTTAGATGTTATGCACCATAACGGGAATAAATATATCGGCTATCTGATTAATAATTATAGATCTTTTGAATGGATCCCTTTAGTGAAAATGGCCTCACATAACTTACAAGGACACTCACCATGTGATGCCAAAATCATTTCATTAATACTTAAAAGATTTACCAATGTTGAATGTCTTGCAAAGGAGGGTTTGGTTCAATTTATAAAGCAACCTGGTTGAACGGACCATTATTGAGATCATGAAGAAAATAAATTTAAACGATGGGAGAATGGAAAGTTGTGTTGAAATCATTACAAATTCAAAGAAAATTACATCAGAGTTTATAAACGAGGTAAAATGAATACCTTTTAAAGTGTAAGCATATTTTTCAATATAATCGACTTTGTAATAATTCCACATACACCAACAAGTATTAGAATGAGTATGAAACTGCGGTTCTCGTTTCAAGTAAGTGAACATAAAAGAAGGTTACCTTTCTTAACTAGAATAAAGGACTTGTTAATTTTTATAAATAGCAAAATGAAGCGAATTTAATGAATGAATTATTGATTAAACTTTTGACCCAAGCAATTTTTGCGTCCCTGGTCAATAAATTTACATGTTCAATAAATAAATTTCTAATTTTTCATCTTTAATGTTTTCACTTATTTTTGGTTAATGTAAATCATTCTTCACTTAGTGAATTTGAGCTAACGGTTTGACATAGATTCATTCACAGTTTGCTTGGTGTAATTAAAAAAACTTAATTGAAAAATTTTGAAGTTGTGATTGTGTTGCAAGTATTCTGTCACTTTGATGATGTATCAGTATTTTCGAAAGCCTACTATACTATTGTAATCAGATTTCAAGGATGGTAATCGTGGATTATCTTATACAAAATTTCTTTAAGAAATCGCTGTGTCGCTAATTTAGAAATGTTGAAAAACAGCCTCGACACTTGTATATGAAGCCTACCAGATGGCACAATTTAGTCAATGTCCCTCAAATATGAGTAATTTTTGCACATTTGTTACTGCTCTGCGTCGTGAAGTCATTACATGAACGATCACTTGTATTGCTACATGTACATGTATTAGTTAAAAATTTGATAATAGCGATAGGTCGATTTTGAAACAAGATAAATAAACTAATTTGTTTTCTTAAGATAATACATTTAAATAAAATCTGTGAGAAGTATTTTTAATATAGGAAGAAAGTCAAAGTCAAGTATATTAGTAATAACAAGTTATTTTAAGATAAGTATTTTTGTGATAAATTTAATAGTAAGAGTACGTATTATTGTGCTCCTTCTAATATTTACCGAAAGAGCTTATCCTGCGATAGTTGGGGAACACCAGATTATTGCAGTTATTTCAATAACCAATTGATTCAAGGAACTTTCTGCAATGGAGTGTGAGTTAAACTGAATTATTTCGGTTAGAGGGGTCTCTCTGGTTGTTCTAAAGATTTCCCGTGGTGATTTGTTCACAAATCAGCCTTTTCAAAATGACAAGGGTGATATTTGAAGAATAGATAGCATAAAATTACTCTTGTAATAAGAGTCGTTTTGTTATAATAAAGTTTTTAATTTATTTTAATACCAATTGATGCGAATATGGCAGGACTTATTGATACAGCCTGTCCAAAAAGAAACTCAATACAAAAGGGCGATTCGACAAGGCTTATTAATACTGCCTGTACAAAGAAAACAAAATCAACTTAACAATTCAAAAGAATTCAATGGTTTATTTAGAGTGGATGAGCATCTACTACTTGCAATCACTCACAAGGTTTGAAGTTTGATCACGAAATGAAAGAAAATACATAAGTAACGTACCCCCCTTAACTTTCCATATCGATAAGTAATTTACCAAAATTTTCCGAGCACATAGAACATTACAAATGCTGATTGTTGATACCTTTTATAGATCGGTAGAGCTTCTATAAATCGATCACTTTAGGACATAATATCTCGACGTCTATTGGTCCAATTTGAGTGAAAATACCACCATTTGATTTGCCTAGGTTAGGCAAATTGTATGGTATTATTTTTCACTCAAATTGGACCAATAGATATTATAAAAGGTATCAACAATCAGTATTTGTAATGTTCTATGTGCTCGGAAAATTTTGGTAAATTACTTATCGATATGGAAAGTTAAGGGGTACGTTACATCTGACGAACACTGTAGATAACATGTATTTACCGTTACCGTTACCGTTACATAAGTATGTACATGTAGATAGCGATCGTACATTCATATAAAACGTGGAATTTCTATAAAATGACGAACTGGTAATTGACATTAACTGTTAACATAACAATAACGATAAGAAATTGCACTTTTTAGGGCATCATCTTGTAAAATGGATAACGATAAGTCAACTAACAGCAGCATCATCAATATTGATGAAGATGAAATTTTTGCTAAGGTAAAGTTGGCATTTTTTAATGATTTTTATTTAAAACTTGATTAATTTTTTTGATATTAGGAAAATTACGTGATGCATGTATCGAGTAAACCGAATAAATTCCATCATCCAACGGATATCGAGATTACTCCAATCGTTAATACATGTATCATCGATATTTCTGAAAAATTTTCAAAGCTTTTAGAAGATTTGACAGTACCCGAAAATCTCTTAAAAATAAAAGAAATGGCCGAAACTTCAAAAATAAAACTCACGGGCAAACTTTTAATTAATGCTTTAGAAGCTTTAAGTGACCCGACACCATTCACTAAGCATTATGAAAGGAAAACTATATGTATGCTAGAGCTGCAT